GTTGGTGCCTACCTATTTGCTGGCTCGTATGCCATCATCTTAATGCAGACATGATGGTCTGCACCCCCCTCAGCCCTGCAGAGACCTTGGACAGCCAGCAGTGTTGTGGGCTGTGCAGAGCCAATCCTGGAACCGGAGGAAGGAGGCACCCACAGGCCGAGCGCCAGCCCTGCAGGTGGCAGAGCATGGGTGCAGCTCGGACTCCTGCACAGCACACAGGTGTCTTCCTGCTTCCTCCAAATGTCTGTATCTCAGGCACCTCCTCTGGCTTCCATTCCCTCTGCCCTGAGCACACCCCTGCCTGGCCTCTGCACGGGGTGGGGGGAGTCCAGCTGGGGTCCCCTGGGTGGCATAGGACCGGAGGGAAACCCACTTCTCCTGCCTCTGCCACAGCTGCAGGTCTTCTGGAAGATACACAGGGGACCCGTTCATGAGTCTGCTTGTGAACGCAGGTCCCCAAAGGAGGGAAAAGCCCTTGGCTCCTGTTTTGAGGCTGCGTGGAAGGCAGAGAGCTGGGCTGGCGTCCTTGGCATGGGACAGACCCAGTGCTCAGCAGCCCCAAGGTTGGTCTAGTGCTCTGCATTCATCTTCTTGAAATTCTTTTGTTGTTGTTGTTGTTTTTGAGACAGAGTCTTGCTATAGTTCAGGCAGGCTTTGAACTCACTATGCAGCCCAGGCTGGGCTCAAAATCTCAGCGATCTTCCTGCCTCAGCTTCCGGAGTGCTGGGGTTACATGCACAGTTAATTTGCTTGCATGTGTGTGTGAGTGTGTGGGGGGGTGTGGATCACACCCAGGACCTAAAGCCATGCTAGGCAAGCTGTCTACCACCAAGCTATAACCCTAGCCTACTTGAAATTCTTAATCACTTAAAATTTGTTCCCTTGAGGGCTAGGCTGTGGCTCAGTGGTGAGTGCTGACCTATCGTGCAGAGGTCCTAGGTTTTATCTCCAGCTCTAGGAAAAGAGGGCCGGTGCCTGGGGCCCCAGCTGGGTGGCAGGTCCCCAGTGGCTCATGAGCAGCCAGCGCTTTTCTCCTGTTCCCCTGCTGCCCTCACTGCATTCCCAGTCTCCTCGCCTGGCCCCCTCTTCCTGGGAAGTGGCCCACATTCGTATTCCTCGGCAGTCTGTCCCCAAGGGGCTCTGCTTCCTAGGAACTGGCCTTGCAGTATCAAGCTGGGTGGGTGCCACAGTCTCTCAGGGTGGTCAGCCTTTTCTAGGCCCGGCGCCCAGGTCACGTGCTCCCAAGAGGGAGGGAGCTGACCCCTTGTCCCCTAGGCCAAACACTTGCTGCCTTCCAAAACTCCTTCTCTGGAGGAGCCCTGGGAACAGGGAACATTTTCCTCCTCCAGCCCAACCAGTGAGCTAAGTAGGAAGCTCGTCCCAGGGAATATTTGTTGAGTGAACAAGGTCTGAGTTATTTCGCAGCACTCTGCTTTTTGGTTATTTATTCATCTTTTTCTTTTTTCTGGCCCTGGGGATGGAAGCCGGGGCTCTACACGTGCTCCACACACACACACACACCCCATGCCACAGAGCTACACCCCCGGCCTCTGAGCTTTTGTAAACTTAAAAATCTCTGCACAAAACACTGTATCCAGGCTAGGAGGAGAAAACAGGATAAAGAGTTGAACATACAGTCATCAGCGAAGAAGATGGTACATGCTACATTAATTTCTCCCAACATTTTATTGTGAAACTTACTGATTAAATAGAAAAGTTGGAAGCTCTGGACAGCAGACTCTGTGTACTTACTTACTGAGTTATAAATTTACATATCGGTCTGTGTGTGTGTGGTGAGGGGTGCTGGGGATTGAACCCAGAACCTGTGTGTGCTGGGCCAGCTCTCCACCCCTGAGCCACGCCCTGGCCTCCTATTTGCTCCTTTTCGTCTATCCTGTATCTATTCATTTATTCATCCCTCTAAACATCCATCCATCCAACCTACATTTTGGTTCATTTCAAAGTGAATTGTAGACCTTGTAGACTCCACTCCTAACCAATATACTACACCAAATTTTAGTCCAATGAAATCAATTCGGTTATAACATTTATTTTTGAAATGAGGTCTTGCTCTTTTGCCCAGGCTAACCTCAGGTTCCTGAGCTCAAGTGATCCTCCTGCCTCAGCCTCCCAGGTAGCTGCAACTACAGGTGCACATTGCAGCTCCTGGCAACTTTTCTTTTTGCATCAAGAAAGAAAACAAATACAGATTTTCATATAAAACAAATCATTTTCTGTGAAATATTACTGTTATATGAGAAATAGTACAGGCACAGTTTAAAAAATAGCTTTCTCTCCCCTCTGTTCCCCAGGCTCTGAGAAAAGACACAGTGACACAGATCCCTGAGTAATGCTTCCTGCCTCAGCCTCCTCCCTCCACCCAGGTCTGGGTTGGGCAGGGCTGCAGGTGAAGCTGCAGCTGCTCGGGTTGTGATGGGGACGGACAATGCTACAAGCCCCAGCTGTAGGCTTGGAAGTGTCCTCAGAGGGGTGCTGGCTGAGTGTAGGCAGCGCTCAGAAGGCCCCCGAGGGGACAGTGGCATGGGTGGGCAGGACTTTGTCATGGGATGGAGAGGTGTTGAAGCAGCCTGAGGAGCTTCAGTCAGAGAGCAGGAGGCTGCTTCCACCATGAGGGGCAGTTCTGGGCTGCAGGAGAACATACAGCAGGGAAGCCACCACACCTGTCATCCCAGCACTCGGGAGGCTGAGGCAGGAGGATCACCATGAGTTCGAGGCCAGCCTGGGCTACATAGTGAGTTCAGGGCCAGCCTGAATGAGACCCTGTGTCAAACAAACACAGCAAGGAAGCTCTGGGGAGACTGGGGGACATCTTTAGAGACCTCCCACTCCACCACCCCAGGACAAAGTGAGGTTGTGAGATTACTGGGAAAATCAGTGGCAGAGCCAGGGCAAAATCAATGCTACCCAAGGGATACTTTACCTACAAAAAGTTTCTTCCTCAAGGATCAAATGCTGTAGTGGCTTGATTTTTATCTTTAAAAATTATATAGATTTAGCTTTTTACTCCAGAACATATCTATGTATAAACATATGTATAAATAAGTTTCCTTTTCAATAAAGGAACAAGAAAAATTGATACTTAGTATTCTCAAATTTTCTTCAAATCATACTACTGGTGAATGAATATGAAAATCGAACAACTGCTTCTGTAAGTTTTAAATTCTACTTCCACTTTCCACCTGCTTTGATTCTGACCTTTAGGATCCTCCGATGCCCATGTGGTATTAGAGGCTTGGCCAGTGGGGAGGCACCATTGGGAGTTGGCAGGCCCTCTAAGAGGCAGGGCCTAGTGGGAGGCTTTTAAATCATTGGGGTGTGGCCTGGGAGGGGCCATTGGCACCTTGGGCCCTTCCTGTATTGTTCGCTTCCTGCCATGAAGTGAGCAGTTTTGCTCCACCACACCTTCCCCACCTTAGCCTTCCAACATCTCCACCAAACGAACCTATTCTCTTCATAAGCTCATTACCCAAGTCTCAGGAATCTATGACAATGAGCAGAAAACAACATGCACACTGCTCCCTTGAGGACACAGGTATGAGGAGACACAAGCCATTTCCTGTGTAACCTTCAGAGGTTTAATGGGACACAGTTTGTGTAATAAAAAGATGCTACTTGTTTTTCAAATATGAAAGTGAAACAGCCCGGTATGGGTGTGGCACAAACCTGTAATCCCAGCCCTTGGGAGGCTGATGTAGGAGGATTGCCATGAGTTTAAGGCCAGCCTGGACTCCATAGCGAGATGCTGTCTCAAAAAGCCAAAAAAAAGGAAAGTGAAATAATAAAGATGCTTTTGAATAACACAGCCTGCCCTCCCATTTGAAAACAACTCTTCCTCTTTTTAAAGTAATTTTTGCAGAAGTAAGGATTGAACCCAAGGCCACTCACATGCTAAGTACATGCTCTAGTAATGAGCCACCCCACACTATGAGACCCTTCCTCTTGGGCTGCGGGGCACACTTCGTGATTGGGGTCCTCCTGACACCCTCCCCATGTGCCCTCCCCATGCAGGAAGGCTTCCAGCTGCAGGCAAAATCTCCCTGGACCATGGCCTAAGCAAAGAAGGCGTCTCATTATTTCTCATATTAAAATTCTGGAGGAAGAAGCTTCCAGAGTTCAGTCAGCAGGATGCTGAGCTAGCATCTTGGTGATCTCCTTGGCATTGCCCTGATGCCCCCAAAATGACTCCCATAGTGCCAACCAGCTTCCCTTTAGGGAGAAAAGAGAGGAGGAACTTTCCCGAATGCCACTTGAATTTCTTTGGCCACGGCTGTCCCATGGCCACTCCTGTACCAGCCCCAGCAGAGAGGAACTAGCGTCCTGTATTCAGGTTGGACCCATCTGCTCTGGCCCTACCTTCCTGGAACATGTGCAGGATGAGACTGACGCTGGTTTTGTTTGTTTGAGACAAGGTCTTGCTCTGTAGTCCAGGCTGGCCTCAAACTCACTATGTAGCCCAGGCTGGCCTTGGACTTGCAGTGATCCTCCTGTCTCAGCTTTCTGAGTGTTGGGATGACAGGTATGTGCCACTATGCCCGGCCCTTACACTAGCTATTTACTGCCTAGTTTTGGCTCACCTCCCTCCCTAGATTGCAAGGGCAAGGAGGGCCAAGAGTTTGTTTTATTCACTGCCATAGGTGGAACACCTAGAACAGTGCCAGAAATTCAGTAATTGGCTTTTAAACATATTTATTTATTGTTTTTATTTTGAAACAGACTGTGTAGTTCAGGCTGACCTTGAACTCACTATATAGTTGAGGCTGGCCTTGAACTCATGGTGATCCTCCTGCCTCAGCCTCCTGAGTACTGTGATTACAGGAGTGAACCACCATACCCAGTTTCAATAAATTAAATGAATGAATGAAGAGTGGGGAAGGGCCGCCCTGGAATGTTAGATAGGCGACCAACTGTTAGATGACCCCAAGCGCCCAACCCACTGTGCTGATCAGGAGTGTCTGACCTCTGGCCTTGTCCTTGTGTCTTTCCTCCCAGGGATGACCCTGCTCAATTTCTCCTGTGCTCCGGAAGACAGGATGTGTGAGGACAACAAGACGGCCACGGCCGGGCCCCGGCTGGTGCCACTGGTGGTGGTGCTGAGCAGCGTGTCTCTGGTCACCGTGGTGCTCAACCTGCTGGTGCTGTACGCTGTGCGCAGCGAGCGGAAGCTGCACACTGTGGGCAACCTGTACATCGTCAGCCTCTCGGTGGCTGACCTGATCGTGGGCGCCGTGGTCATGCCCATGAGCATCCTCTACCTCCACATGTCCGCGTGGATCCTGGGCCGGCCGCTCTGCCTCTTCTGGCTCTCCATGGACTACGTGGCCAGCACAGCGTCCATCTTCAGTGTCTTCATCCTGTGCATCGATCGCTACCGCTCAGTCCAGCAGCCTCTCAGGTACTTGCGGTATCGGACCAAGACACGAGCGTCGGCCACCATCCTGGGGGCCTGGCTTCTCTCCTTCCTGTGGGTGATTCCCATCCTGGGCTGGCACTTAATGGCCCCGAAGTCAGGGCCCCGGGAGAACAAGTGTGAGACGGACTTCTACGATGTCACCTGGTTCAAGATCATGACCGCCATCATCAATTTCTACCTGCCCACCCTGCTCATGCTCTGGTTCTACTTCCGGATCTACAAGGCCGTGCGGCGACACTGTCAGCACCGCCAGCTCCTCAACGGGTCCCTCCCTTCTTTCTCAGAGCTGAAACTGAGGTCGGAGAGCGCCAAGGTGGACACTGGGAGGCCGGGAAAGGAGTCGCTCTGGGAGGATCTGAAAAGGCGGTCAAAAGATGTCAGTGGGGCGCCCGCCCCGGTGCCATCTTCTGGAGGTCCCGTGGTGGTCACACCCGAGGTCGCCTTCAGCCAAGAGGAGGGCGGAGAGGCAGGCACTCTGCAGATACCCATGGTGGCAGTGGGAGGTGGCAGGTGCTACGAAGCTCTGGACCGCGGGCAGAGCCAGCTTGGGCCTGGTGAGCGGAACCGGGTCTCGTGTGACAGCGCCACGCCGGAGGATCGGATGCTGGTGGACAGACAGTCCTTCTCCAGGACCACGGACTCTGACGCCAGCATGGAGGTGGCGCCGGGCAGCAGGCAGCTGCGCAGTGGGTCCAGCACCGGCCTGGACTACATCAAGCTCACCTGGAGGAGGCTGCGCTCGCACTCGCGGCAGTACGCCACCGGGCTGCACCTGAGCCGGGAGCGGAAGGCAGCCAAGCAGCTGGGGTGCATCATGGCGGCCTTCATCCTCTGCTGGATCCCCTACTTCGTGTTCTTCATGGTGATCGCCTTCTGCAAGAGCTGCTGCAGCGAGCCCGTGCACATGTTCACCATCTGGCTGGGCTACCTCAACTCCACGCTGAACCCGCTCATCTACCCGCTGTGCAACGAGAACTTCCGGAAGACGTTCAAGAGGATCCTGCGCATCCCGCCCTGAGGGCGGGGCGGGGGGGGGCGGCCTGGAGACGGAGGGCAGGAGCCTGTGTCTTACAGGTACCTGGGCTTCCTGCAGTGGAGGCCACAGTGTTGGTTAGGGCTGAGGGGGCCAGAAAAGGTCTCAGCGGGCGGCGCGTGAAGAAGAGCAGGTGGTGCTGAGCAGCGGGAAGACCGCACTGGGAGCACTGGGCAGGGATCCTCAAGAGCCCGGCGGGCACCTCTCTCCGGAACCCATGCTGGGGCCGCCCAAGCTTCTCCCTTACCCTTTCTCACGCACATGTGGCTTAGAGTTGGCAGAAAATTATGCAGCGTGAATGTCCATGTTTTCTATACCAACTTCCTTTAGGTTCTTCGGTACTTGGGGACAAAGCCGCCTTCAGAAGAGAGAGACAGGAGCAATTTGAAGGGCTGTATGTTCAAAGCAACGGGCCAGGGTGAGAGCGGCTGATGTCCCAAGGGTTGGGCCAGGCGTGTGGCACTGGCGCTCACCACACCACGAGAGGACGGTAGCCGGTGAGTTCCAGCTCGCAGGAGCAGAACAAGGTCCAGCCAGGTGCCAGGAGGAACCGAAGGGCAAGGTCACAGAGTAGCTGTGCAGGAGAGTCGGGGAGAAAACCCAGTGGGGTTTCAGCTTGTCCTCACATTTTCTCCAAAAGGCAAAAATAATATGTCCTATTGCAAGCCCACACCTACACACGAGATTCCCAGGAGGGGTGACAAGTCCCCAAACCACATGTAGGGAAGAAGAGCAGCTGCCTCGGAGCAGATCTGTAGCCCCAGAGGGAGACTCTCGGAAGGGACAATGGACATTTTCATCCGTGAGTCAAGAGGTCTTCGTGTTCTTTTATAGTCTCCCTGTGGAGTCACAAGTGACAAAGCCACGGGAACATGCCGCTTATGTGATGCTTACGTCACAGTCTGGTTGTGATTTGTATTTTAAAACTTAACATGTGTAGGGAGTGGAAATGCTTATCCACTCGGACCTTCTGTGTCTCGTGTTCCTGTGTGCATGACCTGTTCAAATGAGATATTTTTACCTCCCTAAAATGTACTGGTGGAAAGGATACTGTTCTGTGATTTGTTCATCTCTTCCTTTAGGAGTCCCTTGGGCAGAGAAAATATACAGGAAGGTGCTGTGGGGCATGACAAGACGCTGGTGGGGTTCTGGTTGCTTTCTGGTCATGTCTAAATGTCTTTCCAAGGGGAGTTTTAGAAAAAGATTCACTCTCCTTCCACTTTGCTTCCTGGGAAGTTCCTCATGCTCAAAATCAGGGCACTGCAGAGACTCTTCCTGGTGTCAGAAGCTGCACTGTCACCTGAGAGCAGCACTTTGGAACCAAAGAAGCCTCAGGGACCCTGGTTAAAAGGTGGGGCCGTATGCCCAGTGTGGGGAAAAGAAATGGGGGTGAACTTGGTTTTGGGTTGGAGTCCTGGATTTGGGTCTGACAAGAACAATAAATAGATGTTGTCAGAACCTAAGAACCAAGGTCTGTGCTTTAGTGTATGTGGTGCCTCTGTTGCTCATGGTATCAGAGCACGGAGGGCTTTCATACAGATTTTAACAGTGCACTGAGTCAGAGCTGCCAAGAGGGTGAACAACTGCAATCCCAGCACTCTGGGAGGGTGAGGCAGGAGGATCTCAAATTCTAGCCCAGTCTGGATAACTTAGTACCTTAACAAGATTTTGTCTTCAAAATAAAAATAAATAGGCTTGGGAGGTAGAAGAGTAACTAGGGCTTGGTGAGAAGGCCCTGGGTTCAGTCCCCAGTGCAAGAACAAAATAAAACAAAAGCCAGATACTAAGCGAGCCTCTGCTGCAGGGAGACAGGACGGTCTGGCCTTGGCTGATGTGGCATGTGTGAGGTTCCCCTGTGGGGAGTGTGTGTCCTGCTCCGCTGACTGCAGCATAGGGGGTGACGATGGATTGGCCTCAGTTGCTGTGGTCTTCTGACACATCCTGGGGCCTTACTGTGTGTGAGAATGTTCTCCGCCTTTCTGGGGGCCCTAAGTCTCTTTTCTTTTTCTTTTTTTTCTTTCTTTCTTTCCTTTTCTTTTCTTTTTCTTTCTTTCTTCTTTTGGTTTTCAGACATAGGGTCTCGCTATGTAGATCAGGCTGGCCTCAAACTCATAGTGATCCTCCTGCCCCAGCCTCCCAAGTGCTGGGATTACCGATGTGCACCACCACACCTGGCCTCCCCAAATCTTTCTTGATGCTCCATGGTCTTGGTGCCCAGTGGGCTGCCCGGCTTTCCCCACCCAGGCTTTGGGCAGGTCTTCTGTGAGCTGTACCCTCATCCCTACCAAAGAGCCACATTTCCCCCTGGAGTGTTCATTAGTTCTGGGCCCCTCAGCCATCTGGATGTCCAGGCCTCTTCTGTTAACATGGACTTTCCGAGCACTGTCCTAGGCCATTTGGAGACAGCAGGTGGCCCAAGACAGAGAGATGTGGTTTCAACTCTGTGGGAGTTGAGCTCTGTGGGAGTCATAGCTGCAAGGGGCGGAAACTGAGTCTGGGGGTGGTTACCAGGTGTGCAAAGCTATTCTGTGCTGCTCTAACAGTGCACCACAGACTTGATGGTTCATCCGCGCTGGATTTCCCTACTCTAAAAACTGGTGTGCTCTGATGTGCTCCAGGACCTGGAGCCTTCTGATTGCCAACCTATGGCCACAGCAGGAAGTTGTCTTGTCCATGTGGGCAGCCGGCAGTGACACTTCTGCTTTTTGATTCTCCAGTGTACACAGACTGTTCATGCACAAAATCATCAAAACTGCTGTGTGAAGTCACCTTTCGGCTATGTGCATAAGGTGCATCTGAAACATTATTAATAAATTTTGTGTCTAGACATGAGTTCCTTTTGCAACAGGCCTCCTTATGAATATGCAAATACTCTGAAATCAAAGAAGAATTAGAAATTCAAAACACTTCTGATTCGTGGCATTCTGGATATGGATATTTAAACTGTAGTGAATAGAAATCTCCAAATCCAGATCTGATATTCTCCATGCAGAACCCTTTAGTCATGAACTGTGGCACACTCCAGTAATCCCAGCTTGTGGAAGGCTGAGGCAGAAGGATTGCTACGAGTTCAAGGCAAGCCTGGAATACATATGGACTACATAGACTCTATCTTTAAAATAAAAGACCCACCTACTAATGACCCACCACAGGGTCATTGGACAGGTGCAGAAACTAAATGCTCTTTTGGAACCCAGAACTCATTCAGTATAAATTTCAATGCATTTAAGAAGGAACATTACCACTGGGTGCAGGGGAGCATGAGTGAGGCTGAGGCAGGAGGAACACTTTTTTTTTTTTGGTACAGGGGACTGAACTCGGGACCTTGTACTTACTTGCAAGGGAGATGGCAGAACCTCTGAGCCAAATCCCCAGCCCAGGAGGAACATAAGTTTGAGACCAGCCTGGACTAGTGAGACTCTGCCTCAGAAAACCAAAACCAAAAAATTATGATACCTAATGTGAAGCAGTGAAGGACTGATAACCACCAAGACTGGTTTGGAAACAAAAGAGTGAGCGGTTAGGACTGCAGGACACGGGCAGCCTCAGCTCTATTGATTGACTCAGTACTCCATTTTCCATGTTGTGACCCCTGAAGATAGCCTTTTTTTCTTCTGCTGCAGCAGGAAAGCTGGGGCGGGGGGATCCCAGACAGAATACCCAAGGAGCTAGGAGCAAAGAGCTGCTTTAATAATACCGGCGATTCAACAAGCGATTCCTGTGAGTCTTGAGAGGGCTGAATAGAAGTTTGTCCTTGTTCCTGTACCTCTTTTTAACATCTCTGAGGCTTACTTTCATTGGAATTTCCCTGGGAGTATAGCAAGCAGGGTTTACACAAAGCAGAGCAGCGGTGGAACTGGGGAAGAGCAGAGAGTTCCAGCAGGACTTTCTGAGTCCCTTATGCTCCTTTGGTGACAGATTACAGAAGTCATGGCTACTCAGGTACAGTCTCCAAAGAGCATAGTTACCTGGTTAATGCATAGTTGTCCAATAACACAGTTTCACTGATAGTTGCCCAATCCCGTATGGAGGGGTGGAAAAGTTTCCTCCTTCACATTCTTAAAGGATTGTTTTTCATTTTGTTTTTTGAGACAGGGTCTCACTATGTAGTTCAGGCTGGCCTTGAACTTACTGTGTCACCCAGGCTGGCCTCAAACTTGCAGCAATCCTCCTGCCTCATCCTCCTGAATGTTGGGATCACAGGTATGCACCACCACACTCTGCTAAAAGGTTTTGTCTTGAGAACTCAAGGCCTGGAGCAGAGGATATAATCTGTGTTTGGGTTATGTTTGTTTCAATGTAGTGAATAGTATATAATCACATTAAAAGTTCTACCAGTTTAAAGGAAAATAATCACCACAGAGGCAGTGAATTTCGTTAGCCTGTTCCTTTCCTTCTCCTTTGATCCCTTGCCAGGGATTGCACTCAGAGCCTCAGTGCTACTGATCAATGCCCCAGTCCCTGGCAGTTACATTTCAACATGACTTGTGGAGTTGTTGAGAGAACAGGATTCAGACCACTGCCCAGGGAGTTGTGTGGAAACAAACGGTGATGCCCCAGATGCCTGGGCTTGGGAGGCCAGCGTCAAGTCAACCATTGGGAATCTCAGTGAGAACTCAAGGAAGCTCCCTCTGCTGCCACTGACCTCCAACCCCATTCTTGCTCTAGATGACCATCGGTTCTGGTGTCCAAAACCGAGGGTCAAGAATCATCCTGTGGCTGGGTAAGGTGGGGTGCACCTGTACTCCCTGCACCCAGGGGGCTGAGGCAGGAGAATTGCTATGAGTTTGAAGCCAACCTGGGCTAAGGGAGTTCAAGGCTGGCCTAAACTACATAAGGAGATCCTCTCTCAAAAAAAACAAAATAACAAAAGAAAAGAAAAACATCTCCTGTAGTCAGTGCTGGAGTGGGTGAGGCTGGTGTGTTGGGGGTGGGGTTGGGGTGCACACACAACTGAGATTGACAGTTCTCAGAGATGCAACAATCATTTTAACCTGGGAAGAAACGCCAAAATGTATTTATCAGAAAAGCTCAATGCCCAGCAGAAATATACCCCTGAAGAAGTTCCTTCAGCCCCAGCTTACATGCTCAGTACTCTCATAGGAAGTGACAGCCCCACAGATTGCTTGTTTGTTGAGACAAGGCCTCACCAAGTTGGCCAGTTTGGCCTTGAACTTGCCATCCTTCTGCCTCAGGATGTAGCTAGGAGTACAGGTGTGTGCAGCCGTGCTTGGCTTGGATGCTTTCTAAAATCACGATTATTGTATTTGGTGCATGCTGTTAAAGGTATCTGTGATAAATGCATGCATGCATATTGTGAGGACCTCAGTGATGCTGTGGACACTCCCCCAACCCCAGTGAGGACAGGGCCCCGTCTTGCCTCAGCACCCACAAATGTGACCTCTCTCACTACAGAATTGCATGGAGGTGGAATCAGATAGCATGCACATAGTCAGCAGTTGGAGAGCCAGGCACAGCGAGTTGGGCTGTGGAGACAGAAGTCTCCTGAGGCACGGTGAGGTGGAGACAGGAGGGAGCAGGGTATGCATAGAAAACCAGATTTCTGTGCGGTGACCCAAGCAAGTGGCCTTTGGAGGTAGACACTCTCAAAAGAGCTTCCAAGTATCTCAGTCACTTTTTTTCCCTGTTGAGACCCAACATTCAACACCAGCAACTTAAGGGAGGAGAGGTTTATTTTGGTTCATGGTTTCAGAAGTTTCAGTCCATGGTCAGCAGGCTCAAACAGGGAAACAATGCATTGGAAAGGTCTAGGTGGAAAAGAGCAGATCACCTCATGGCAGACAGGAAGCAGAGAGGGTTGGGAGGAGCCAGAGAGGAAGCTCAACCTGCCAGGTCACGCCCTCAGTGACCCATCTAACCGAGACCCACTTCCCAACAGTACACAGCTCTGAACTCATTAGTGGATGAATCCAGATGAGCAAGCACAGTGCCTTCATGATCCTGTCACCTTCCAAAAGCCCACCTCTGAACATGAGGCTTCTGGGGATCATTCCAGACCCAACCTTAACACCAAATCAGGTGTGGTGGCATATGCCTGTAATCCCAGCACTTAGGAGGATGAGGCAGGAGGATCACTTGAGTTTGAGGCTACCCTGGGCTACACAGTGAGTTTGAGGCCAGCCAGGAAGACACAGTGGGAAGCAATAATGGTTGAGGAATCTTTCCACATTTTTGTGCTCAGAAAGTGTTTACTGCAAAGAAAAACTCATTCCATGTGACCTAAGATTCCAGTCCTTCTGAACCTCTGTATTTGTCCCCTTAAATGACCTGCTGAGCTGCTTTTCTCCACTGATCAGTGTGAAGAAACATGTCGTTGACCAAACTCCAGCAAAGTGTCTTTCCTTCCCCAGGTCCTTCACTTTTACCTGCCCTCTGCTCACACCAGCACACAGCCCCGCCTGAGAGCACCCTGGCTTCAAGGCAAAGCACTCTCTGTCTGGTGGTTGGGATCAAGCCCATGTCACCCCACTTTCCCAGTCTGTAGACTGGCTTGTTTATGGTTCCTATAAAAGAAATTACTTTTGCCTCTCCCTTGAGACACCTTCAAGCTTTCGATCAGAGTGGTCTCTGTATTGCAGTAGCTCCCCATCCAACCCCTTGGAATAATCCTTTTCACTAAAGTATCCTTGCTAAGTTTGGATTTATTCTTATTATTTATTTAGAGACTTAAGTAGTCCAGTTAGGCCTCAAACTCACAGTGATCTTCCTGCCTCAGCCTCCATGTGCTGGGGTTACAGGTATATGCGATGCCTGGCCTCATTCTATTTGGTGAGAGTCAAACAAACTTTGATTCCAATTCTGGCCGCCAAATCCTTTAAATTTGAGCAAGCCAATTAAATTTTCCTAGTGTAGTAGGGCATGGTGACCCAGGCTATAATCCCAGCACTCTGGAGGCTGAAGCAGGAGAATCACTATGAGTTTTAGGCCAGCCTGGGCTATATAACAAGACTGTCTCAAAACACCTCCCATCAAAAATAAAATTTCCT